ATAAATCAATGAAAAAGATAAAGCAAACAAACTGAAAATCTGATTAATAAAAGGCCAATTAATTATCTGAGAAAAGCAAAAAAATCCAGAAATATAAAAGGCCAGTGCTTTACAATGGACAAATCTTTGGCAACTCTAATGATGAAAAAAGCCCCCAAATAAACATTAGAAATTTAAAAGAGAAATAATCATCGATACAGAGATTATTTTCTAAATTTATTATACATATTTCAAACACAGAGCCCTAATGAATGATAACTTTACCCAGGTTTTCTTCTATTAGGTTTGATATCCATAAATTTTTGTTCCCTTCCTATTCTGGAAAAGGGGTAATTACAGAACCTATAGAAAGTTCTAAATACTCACATGCTCTCCACTCATCAGGATGTTTAAAAGGAAATGCTAGACCATTATCAATTGCAGCTATTTTAATAAGCGATTCTTTATCATCAATCCAATTTGTTTCCTAAAGGGGAGAAAAATGGTCTGTTGATAAAAAAATGTATATAAATATTTTTAACAGATAAAGTATTTACAATAATTATTGAGGTTTAAAGACCAATTACTTTTATCTAAAGAGCCTATAAAAAGAAAAAATAAGTTGCTGGAAAGTAAAAATTCACCCTTGAAGGGTAGACTGTCTTAAAAATCAGCAAGAATTTTGTAATCACTATTTTTTTAAATTTGATATTATAAATTTACGCAGTAATAGTTTGATTTTTTTTCCTCTTTGGGGAAGAGGGCTTGGAATTATTAAGACTTAAAATGTTGTTCCAGATAATTTATTGCTAGATGTATTGCTTAAATGTATGATTAGGGGTGTAAATGTCTTAACTATTACATAGTTCTGTGCACCTGAAACTAAAAAAAAACAAAAACAGACTACTTCCTATTATTTAAAGTTAGAAAGATGTCATTATTAAGTGGCCTAGATAAAGTAACAAAAGGTGAAAAGATAATTTTTAAATTGAAAATATTAAAGGTTCATGTGATACATGTCGCATTTCTTTTAGTTTATATCAAGTATCTTATCTCAATAAAAATGCACAAAATCCTTAAGAGCAAAACAATGAAGTTTTCAGTAAAATCTAATTGCTCAAGATGTACCAATAAAATATATTTAAGAACTACTAGAATTATGTATATTTGTATATTTTAAAACCATTTCTGCTATAACTGCCATTTATTTTTATTCCTATCATTTGTTTCTATTTACAACTTTATTGAGGTAGAATTTACATGCACTAAACTTCATAATAAATGAAGCGTAGTTTGATAAGCCTGACAGATGCGAAACCTTTGCCCACAAGTTCCCTGTGTCCCTTTGCGGCCCCTCTTTTCCTCCACCTCCAGGCAACCACAGTCTGCTTTCTGTCATAGAGATTAGTTTGCACTTTTTAGGTTTTTATACAAATGTAATCAGACTGTATGTTCCCTTTGTATGTAGCTTCTTTCAATCAGCAGGACTTTGAGATTCATCTACATTACTGCCTATATCGAGTTTGTTCTTTTTTTATTGCCAAGTACTATGAATATGTAGTTTTAAGTTTCTTTGATAAACAGAGAAAAGCACAAACTTTTTAAAGTGAGGCAATAGCTTTAAGTGATGAGAACACATAGATTATATATTTTGGAGAAATTATTTTTTAACTAGTTAAAACTTTTTCAACTTGTATGGACTATTCTAAACTAGTAAAACTATTCCAAAATATCTCTTGTGTAAATATTTAAAATTTGAACTTGGTAGTCAAAGTTGACAAAAATTGATCTAAACATCTATCATTCTGATAGTGTTAACGGTCTATGCAGTCCATTATGTACTCATACATTAAATCCAGCTTCTTATAAGTAGTGGAAGCACATTTTTTAAAGTTCAATGAATGTGATTCACAGGTAAAACACATTCCATTATACTACATTACCTAATATTGAGTCATAAGACTCACAAAAAAGTGAATTGGTAATATATAAACATGACCAAAAATACCAGGTGCCTTTATTACATAAAAGCAAAATAAATATGGTGTTTCTACAAAAATTTCCCAAGCCCTGAAAAAAGTGCCAACCTCATATCATTCTTCTTTTCTAACGCAACATGAAAAATAAAGCTGCATGGAGATTTTAATAAATAGAATTTAAAAAATGCAATGTAAACAAGGGAAGAAAAGAAAAAAGATGAGAAAAAACAAAAAAAGGAGATAAAAACCAAGAATCTGAGTGAAGAAAATGATGAAGAATAAGAACTTCCAAGAATCTTTTACAGAAATGGACTGCATGTGTGTGTGTATACATACCAATATATTCTTTTTAAATTTCCTTACCTTAATTTCCTTTCCATGTTTCTGCTTTTCATACCTGATTAACCAATTATCATTTCCCCTGTCTTTCAAAACAACAAAAAATCTGTTACTTTGTTTTTTATGGATATCACAGCTTAATACCAAATAGAAAAATCTAGTCACCTCTTGATTTTCAAAACTTTCATTGGTTTCTATGGCATATGTTTACATATTAAAGGCTCTAATCTAACACATGCAAACTAAAAAATATGCATAAATATTAACTAACATTTTGAGGATTTACTCTGTCAAATATTGTTGTAAGTGCTTAACATGTATTAATTCATTTAATTCTCACAATCACTTTGTGAGTTAGATACAATTACTGTCAAGAACCATTAAATCAAGGTTTTTAAAATCGAGGGTAATTTCTCTATCCTTAGAAAGAAAAAGCATCTACCCCTATTACCAGGCAAATTCGTGGACACGCTCTCACCTAATGTCTATATAGGAATATTCTAGACCCTACACTAACTTTAACATTAACTTAAACCGTATTAATTAAGAAGGTAAATCTAGAAAAGTATGTAATTCTTGTTCAGAAACCAAATAAATGAGCAAACATTTTGAATCTGTGGTTCTCAAACTTCAGAGTGCATCAGAATTACTGGGAGAACTCGTTTAAACACTCACTGCAGTTTCTACTTCAGTACAGCTGGGGTGGGCTCCTAGAAGATGCACATGTAACAAGTCCCCATGTAACACTGACCTTGACCGACCAGGAAACCACATTTGGGAACCACTGTGATACATTATCTACATCATTGCTCCCTTCCAGCCCATAAAAAATTAAAGAGTTTAATGTATTTATAGACTATACTAAGTCACCTAAAGTCAAAACAAGCATCTAAAATAATTTACACAATCAAGTTTTAATCATTCATATATGCAGATAACATTTCTAAAAATTGGCTTTGTCCAGCTGCCAAGAAACAGCCCACCAGGGATGGAACTGATTAGGATCAACTGGGCAGAAGCTGCCATGACAGGATCTCCAGTACACTATCAATTCTGCAAGGAGAGTCCGTAATACATCTCTGCTTTCTAAGGCAGGTAGAGAAAAAGTGGCCTCAAGATTTCTCATCAAAATTTTATGTCTTTGATTTATATAACAAGGGTTGAATATGGTTTGAAAGCTAACAAGATTTGAGTGAACAAATGAGAGAACTTCAATACCTGTATTTCTGATGATGTAATCCAAAATAACTAATTTTTCAAACTGTGACTGAAATTGTTTTCTAATATTCTCAGGCAAAGGGTCAGCTTCAAATTTTCTAAGCCAAAATTCAGCCTCCTTGTAACTTTCAACAAATAACTGAAAGGAACCAATCTATAATTTTAAGAACTATAGTTAGAAAAGAAAGTACAAGAACAAAGGTATTATTTTTTTTATTTCTCAGCAGTATTGTCATTAAATATATAAACACAATAAGAAAAATAAAAGTTAACCCTAATTTAGATAAGCCACATTTATCAAAAACACTATTTTTACACACTAATTTTAAATAATCACACAAACAACCCATAGCAAATAAAAAATTCTCAACCCTAGACTTTCAAGGAGCATAGCAGCTATTTTAGGATAAAAGGTGTTTCTATCACTAAAATTACTAGTTGTTAACATTAAAAAACTTATTAAGGGAAATACAAATTTAAACAGCACATGGCACACAGGTAATGGGTAACCTAGGTGGCCTCATAAATACAGACAAATTACCACAAAGAAAATGTTTCTCATCCTAACACTTTATGTGCTTGTTGTTGGCATGAAATTTTAATGATTTCCTAAAGGCTTTCTCTAAAGCACTTATAATTAAGTCCTAGTACTCATAAATATGGAAATAATATCCTTTGTTAGTCACACTTTTTCCAACATATCCAAAGAGCCACAGGCCTTGTAACATTTTCAAACTTCCTTCTTACTTGAAGTAAAATTTTAGAAACAAGTTCGGTTGACTATGAATTTCTACTGTAATTTTTTTATATAGATAAATGCACAGCTACAATAAAGCAACAAAATCGCAGGTCAAATTTTTTAAAAAAAAGTAAAGCCTGGAGCTTTTTCTAAAATGCCTTTCTCATTAACTCTCCCCACCCTTGCTTAGCTCATCAGCCTTTTGGTTTATTTAAAAGTGGTAAGAAAAAAATCTAATACGTAGTGAGTAAACATAGTTAGTACTATCATTTACTTTACTATATGCCAGGACTGTAACAAGTACTTGACATAAATTTCTTCATTTTATCTGCACAACCCTAAAAGGTAGTTATCATTTCTTCTCTCCGCACTCCCCCCACAACACACACACACACACACACACACACACACACACACACACACACACACACACACACACACACACACACCCTTGTTTTGTAGAAACTGGGGCTGGGAGAGTAAGGAATTTGACTGAGGTCTCAAAGCTAAATGGTGGAGACGCTGGGAGCAAAACCTAGGTCTGATTCTTGACCTGTACTTTTAGCCGTTATTTTACAAAGCTTTAGATGCAATCTCCTCTTGGAAACATTCCCTAGCCCTTCAAACTGGGTTAGACATCCCTTCTCTATCCTCTCTGAGCTCCCTGAACTTAACCATCCTAACTACTTTATCATATTGCATTGACATTACTTCTTTACTATAAACTCTTTGAAGATAAAAAAATTGTTTTCTCTACTATTACATCCATAGTCCACAACACAATGCCTAGCCCATGGAGCTAGGTAATACGTGCTGAACTGCCCCCCAAATAAAGCTCATCACAATAACTTACCTTAGGAGGGAGTCCTATCCGATGAAATTTTCTACCCACTTTTGGCACTTTCTCTAAAGCATACTTTTTGCCTCTAGATTTTGCACGGTCAATTGCACTGTAGTTAAATGTCTCACTGACAAGCCAAACCACCTAGAAACATATGGTTTAGAAAAGTGGTTATTAGAATTTGCATGATGGTGTTTCTATTCCATATACACCATGAACCCACTCTAATGCTGTAAATTAGCAAAGTTTAATCCTATACAAAATGCCTCAGAGAATCTAAAATAGAAAGGCTAAGGGTTTTGCAGTCAGTTAAACGGCATATCTTTCTCTGAGACAGGCAGCCTAAAATTGGCCAGTGGAAGAAGTAATAGTCTTGAAATGTAGAATTAAGAATGAATATTTTGAGGAAGTCTTCAAGTAAAAGTGTATAAAGGACAAAAAGAAAAAAAAACACAGTAGTCTTTTGAGCACATTCGTCATCTCTACCTTCAGCACAAAGTCTAGATCCCTGATCTTTATCTGCTTTCTAAATGCTAGTTCTTTTTTCTCTTTTTGTTAGTATCATCTCAGCTCATGAGTGCAAGAGGTATTCCCTTGGATACTAGAATCGATTCATTGTTGCTCATGACTCTGGATTACCAAAAAAAGGGATCAACTTTAAGCTGTGTTATTAGAAATATTACTAACGTGTTCCCAAAGAAGTGGCTGTAAGTTAGAAGTGCATGATTAAGAATAAATTCTCCTTTACCCTTGTTTTAGGTACAATGCCCAGATGAAGTTTTTCATCCACAAGGGAGGCAGCAGCTTCGGAAAGGTATCCCTGGTTAGGGACCAAGCAGCCTCTGCCGAAGCAGCAAGGGCAGCAGACCTTATGAACATATTTGGTCCATTTTGGATTCAGTTGACCATAAGGCTCTTCTGATTTGGGTTTAAACACACCAATAACTTTCTATAGAGAAACAAATGTAGAAATTTTATTAGACTTTTAACATATAGAGATAATAATCCATAAACCACATTCTGATAAATCTTTTGTAGTTCTTCCCACCACAGATTTGGACTCAATCCTTAAATATTAAGAGGTTTAGTTCCAATCATATTTTTATATTCATTCTCATTGAACAGTCTAAAATCAATAATCATTTGGGCTAGTGGTTTTCAAACTGTGCTCTGAGAAACCCTAGAGAAGGTGAGATGGGAGGTGAGGGCAGGGCTCTAAGACCTCATGCCACTTAACCAGCGAGGCTCTGATTCAACCTGTTTTATATTACTGAACTTCCAAGTTATGAAAGGATTCTACTGATTTTAAAATGTGTGAAAACCACTACTCTAGTCAAAACAGTGTTATTATTCGATATCTATTAAATATCCAAATTACATATTTATTTGTTTATTGTCTAACAGAGGAAGAACTTTCTTAGGACTGTATCCCAAGTACTCAGAACAGTACCTGACACATGGTAAGCATTCAAGCATTTGTTGAATGAATAAATCCAATGACAAAAAGTGGTCTCTATACAAAGATAATGAAAAAGATAAAATACAAAGGTAATGACAGGATATAGTTAACCTCTATGTTGTCAGATTCTCCTACCCTAATCTTTCCAATATTTTTTTATGAACCCATTTAAAATAGGTTCTCTCCTCTTAAAAAAATGTTTGCTCATGGATATCTAAAAGTGTATAATCTTTACTACTGCTGCTCTGATAAAATATATTCATGTTCAACTTTGGGACTGAATTATCCTTAGACAAGAAATAAAAATGTTATTCTAATTTTGAGTCTATAATTGCTTTATAAATACAATAAAGTCTGAGCCACTAGTAAAAAAGTTAACAAGAATAAATGAGAAATCAAACTGGGAATAAACACTGAGATTGAGATTACCTACGTATATGCTTAAACCTTGAAAAAGATTATGTTTTAATATGTAACTTCAATCTTTGCAAAAAAATATCTGAATGAAATTATAATTTTTCTTCCTCTTGAAAGGAACTGCTGGCTATGCATCACTCAGAAAGGTTTTAGAAGTCATAACATCGATTTTTGAAAAATTCTAGACTAAGTGGAACAAAGTCCCATATCAGCTTATCTTTTCTGCCCTAGAATTATACTTTGGTTCATTTCACTTTGTCACATTCCAGTGCCTTCAAACTTCAGACTTCCCAGGCTCCTTCTCTGGTGTAATGCAGGAAAAAAATTTTCTAGGGTAAAATGAGCCTTTGAAAAAAAATCAAGCACTTTGGAAATGACATTAAACAGGTTTTGAAAGTTTAAACTTCTACTCTGCTTGGCTAATATGGTTATAGACTACTCATAAAGTAAGGACTTATGACTATAAACTCAATAAATCGATAGCCTAATGCGAGTATTCAATAATTCAAATGCTTGAAACCAAATATTAAAATAATAGAACAGCAAACTATGACTTCAAATAAATAGCTCTATTTCTAAACAGTAGAGTGCTTTCGTAAAACAACAACAACAACAACAAAAAACTGACCTTGGAGGGTGCAATAAGTTTTATTAGGAAAATATTTTCAGAAACTCACAAGGACTTCACATTTAAATTAGTGTTTTTCAAAATTTGTGTTACATATAGTAAATCTGTGAAATTCTCACCCTTTTAGGATCCTTCACAAAGTAACTTCCACTTGAACCTTGAGAGATTCTTTCTGGAAAAACTCCAAATTCTATTGCCTGCTCCGCTTTCAATACAACATCAGCAAATTCTGGATCATCCAAGAATGCATTCAACTCTGAAGAACCAACAATTATTGCATTAAGAAAACCAATGTTAATATAGTACATGAAGAAAAACCAGCTATGAGAATGCTCATGATATGGACTTGTAATACTGGATTAGGTTAATAGCATCAGAACATGAAGGTATAGAAAAATGTAATCAAGCACTTTATGGGCCGCTTTGATCCTTTCTCCCCCATTAATCCCACTTCTCTTTGAGCTTCAAGTAATGACACGTGGAAAACAAGATCCCTATTTGTAGGAAAAAATCACATTACTACCTCACATTATTTTGAACTGCTCTCCTCCAGTGATTTTTGTCCTCCATCCTACCTCAGCTCCAACTGTGCAGTCATGCCTCAGATGTGTCGTTACCAATACCTGCAATCTCTCCATACTTTGAATTTCAAGCAATTTCTATCTTCCTAGTTCACTCTGAGCCCCAAAATTCTTCTATCCCACTAGGACCTACAAAGCATTGATCTACCATGTTGTCACTGACCTTCACCCCCTTTGTGTTCTTACTTCCCTCTTTGATGAGCTTAAATTATGGTCAATCATCTTATAATAACTCTCTTCCTCTCTCCCCACATCATGGTCAGCTTGAAAAATCTCAATCCTGGTTAAATCCAACTGTCTGCTGACTATGCCTGTGCCCGGAGAGCTGAACTTGAGAAGCACACACAAACACAATGCCTGCTCTCACTTTAAATCCATTACCACAAACCTCAGGTGGGCCCTTCACGCTGCCCAAGGAAGCATACTACATTCCTGTTACGGACTGAATGTTTGTGTCCCCCTAAAACATGTCGAAGCCCTAATCTCTGACATGATCATAATGGGAGATGGATCTTTCAGAGGTAATTTGGTTTAGAGGAGGTCATGAGGGTAGGGCCCCCATAAGGAGATTAGTGCCCAGAGATACCGTAGCTAGCTAGCTTGCACTCTCCCTCTGCCACGTGAGGACACAGTGAGATGGTGGCCATCTGCAAGCCAGGGAGACAGCCCTCACCAGAACCTGACTATGTTGGCTCCCTGGTCTTGGACTTCCCAGCCTCCAGAACTGAGAGAAATAACTGTGTTGCTTTAGCCACCCAGTCTATGGTATTTTGTTACAGTGGCCTGAGCTAAGACAACACACTGGTCCACAGACTCTCCCGCTTTTCTGGACAACTATCTCACACCCTCCCCTCTCCTCACATTCTCAACGCCTCCTCTCTCTCACATGATCTAGCTTCCTATTTCACTAAGAGAAGCAATCAGAAAAAAAAACTATCATTAGCCCTCAGCACCATATCTACCCACCCACATCCTCTCCCTTCTGTCTGTCACCACAGATGAACTGTCCAACCTCTAAGATCAACCCTTTCACTTTGTGTACTAGACCCTATCTCAGGAGCTACTCCAGGGTATTTCTTCAGCAACTCATCCCTGCATCAAAATTCCCCTCTCTATTGCATCATTTCTCTCACCCTCTACATCCAATCCATCAGCAAGTTATGTAGCTCTACCTTAAATATGCAGAATCTACCACCTCTCACCATCTTCATTCGCCCCACGCGAATTAAGTCGCTATCAACTCTCCCCTAGGATATTACAAGTCTCCTACCTGGTCTCCCTCTTTCACCTGTGCCCTCTCTATGCTCAACAGAGAAGCTATAGTAATCCTTTTAAAATAAATCAGATTATCACTCCTTTGTACAAAACAGACAAATGGTTTCCTGTCTCACTCAAAGGAAAAGTCCTGTCCTTACACAATCTCCCCTAACATCCACTTTATTTTTCTGTGTAGCACGTATCACCTAACATATAACTTATTTTGTGAGCTCCAAGAAGACAAGGATTTCTTTCACAGCTGTATGCCCAGAACTTTTATTACAGTTCCTGGAACATAACAGGCACTCAATAAACTCTTGCAGAATTAATAGTTAATAATTTAAAATGATAGACAAGCCAAAATTACTTTGGAAGGCATTTAAACACTATTACATGTACTCAATATTACAAAAATTCAAAACATAAACTTTCCTTAATTAAAAATTTGCCTTAATTCAGACAGAAATAAAAGTGTTCTTTACTAATATTTAAAAGTATGGGGCCGGCCGAGTGGCTCAGTTGGTTAAGAGCTCACTCAAGAGTGTGAGCTCTGTCTGAGCAACAGGGTTGCCAGTTCAATTCCCCGCCTGAGCTGAGCTGCCGCTGAGCTGCCAACAGGTGGCAGGATGGCTCAGCTTAAAAAAAAGAAAGTTTGTGCTAAGAAAAAATACTACAGAAAGTGCTACTGGGCATTTTTAGCCTACTTAAAAGAATAAATAATCCAAGTATTTTAGTCAAGTCTATACAATTGATATGTTGATTCCAAATCATTCTTGACTATCCTGTGAAAATCCTTAAGAATGGAGGGAGAAATTTTGTCTTTCTTGTTCACTGTGTATCCCTAGCACCTGGAAGAGGGTGGTACTTAATATTGAATTGAATAAATGTGTTATTTATGTGCTAGAATGTGCCAGTAATCATTATCATTAGTCAAATGACATTTCTTCTAGGTCAGGGCTCTTAATAAGAAAGAACTTGAAAAGTTATTGATTTCAAGCTTGCTCCCAGAACTAGTGTGCTTTCCATAATACATCACCAGCAGGTAGTCTTTGGGCCAATGTTTAAACACTTTCAAAGACAAATCACTCCTATTTTCATGCTATTATTTGCTTGAAAACACATATAAACTTCTTCCTTTATCAGAAGTAAGTCTCCTGTAGTGTGTCACCCAATGTCCTAGGCATGTCATCTGGAGCAAAACAAAAGTCTACCTACTCCTTTCTTCCCAGGGATGGTCCTTCAAATAATTGAAGATCATTTCATGATCCCCCAAGTCTCTTTATTCTGCGCCTTGTTCCACATGGAAGTGTTTTCAGGCTTTTCAGGATGTGAGTTGCCCTCCCATGTCATGCCTCAGTTTTTCAATGTACTTCCTTAAAATGTGGTCTCTAGAACAGAGCAACCCATTTCAGAGATTAGAGACATCTCTCTGTCTTGACGCTACACCAAAATAAGAACCACTTTAGTATTTTGTCAGTTGTTTAGGAATCCTTTCATACTGCTAATTCATACTAAAATGGCTAAACTCTTAGACCACTCTTGTTCTCTCCCATCCTGTACATGAGCATTTTTGGGGGACACTATGTGGAGAGTTTGACATTATTACTATTAAATGTTATCAAACTGCTTTATGGGTTAAGCTTTATGAAATCTTCATAGAACCTGCCTTTGTTGCTCTCAAGCAGTCCATAATTATACTCTGAATACTTAATAATTCAGTTTCAACTGAAATCTGATCAACAGAACCATTCCTATCAAATCAGCCAGCACATTCTCAATCCTTTTCTTTTTAACTTGTCCCTTATTGAGCAACTCTTTTGGATAAATGAGATAATCTCCCCCCATGAAAATGGGCATTCTTTGAGATGGCCTGGATTTACCACACAATCTGGAAAGGGACTTAAAAGACAACTGGTCCTACTATCTAATTAATGCCAGAAGAAAAGGCTACATATCAACTATTTTAAAATCAAAGTAATTGCTTCCTAGTAGATAATTTTTCTTAACTGACTCATAACTCACATTCTACAACTTTCTTCATTTTACTTAAATGTACATTTGGCAATGAGTATAACTTGGGGGACACCCCCAGAAGTTACACTGCTTCAAGCTATATATGCTATGGAGATTTGGTTGGAAGGTTTTTTGTTTTGTTTTGTTTTGTTTT